ATTCTTATAAAAAGGACATGAATTTAAGTGAATAAAAGATAACTTTGTAATTTTACAATAATTAAATTACTTATTTCGCTTTTAAACATTGAACGTTTACAATAGTAATACTGATATATGGGAAAAAATCGAAATATAATACACATTAATATTAATACGCATGATTTAACAAGAATCTAAACCATATGTAGTTAATCCAATTTTGATATCCCTGTGTAATATATCAACTGACCCAACACTCCAAAATTTTTGCGTAATTTACTTGCCATACTCTGGCGTTCTGCCATACTCAAGCAAACACACCCATTTGGCAGATCTTCCAAGGTAGCTCGAAGTAAAGGCACTACTACATCTGCAATATAAGTACCTTCACTTTGTTCTTTGCGAGACTCACCAGTTTCAAATGCTGGGTTATTCGATACTTCTTTACTATGTATACGAAATATATGTTAGGGTCCACAAGGAAAGTTTATACTCACTAAAATTACTTACAGTACAGCAAAAATACGTTCTACTCTTTTCCCCAGATCAGTTTCATTCTCTTTCCATGTCTTATCATGTAAAATATTTTTAAGTTGATTCGGAATCTCTGATTTATGGAAATTACGTATAAGTTTATCACACTTGGAGTAAACCGACTCGGGAATTTCACATTTCATATTATCGCGTGGTTTCTAATGCAAATAGTATTAGTGAAAATCGTAATCATAAACTTAATTTCACATATCGTTAAATTCTCACCAAAAAATGACGTTTTTGCCTACTTCCCAGATTTTTTATTATTTGTGAATCCTCGCTAAGAACCGTGCTCACCTCCGGGTCTTTCCATGTGAGCTCAGAAGAATCAATTTTACCTAGATTTTTCTTAATAGAATCATAAAGAGACATGTCGGCATCCGTAATTGGTGAGCTAAGTTTCGACTTCAACACCCTAAGATTTTCCTCTACTTCTTCTTGCGTATAATTCGGGATTGATTTACATGTTGTATTCAGAGCCTTTATTCCTCTCAAACCTACGACACTTCTATATCCAATATACATCTACAGCAGATATCATAAATACCGGTATGTTAAAATCGCGATGTCAAATTCATATAGAATGCTTTCATATATTTACATAATCAGACATCTTTCAATGAACAATAATGCTTTATTGCAGGCTGAAATGACCACGCACAGCCAGGGGGGAGCAGAAACCCTCGACATATAGGAGAATTATTCATTCCCGAACATATCGCTCTTCCGGGCCGACATCCCCCGGCCTTCAGCAATGGCCAACCAAACAAACAGCTCATTCATCTACTGTAGTATCATCATTCCATATAAATTATAGCCATTGGGAATCCTGAAAAAATATCACTAACCTCTGGTAAAATATTCAATATTTTTTCTCTTCGATCAGAATCATCTACAATTTTCAATGCTTCTTCCACTGCACGCCCAGCCAAATCTCTAACATCCTCATACACACCCAAAGAATTATCAACCATCGCCAGATAAACAACCGTTGCAGAGCAAATGGCATCTAATGATTCTTCCAATAAAAGTGTTACGATTTTTGAAAATTGGTTTGACATGGTAAAAAATTTTATAAATTAATACGATGTATGAAAATAATAAAATCAATATAAAAATGACTAGCTCATAACTTCGATATACTGTCCTTTTTAAACGTTTCTTTCGCGCATATACACTTCAAAGATTCTTTACGCCAAGGAATTTCTCTTACAAAGTAAAAGCATGTACAATGAGGTAATTGATCGAATTTGGTTAATCGCACAAATAAATCATGCAGGGTCAGGTGGTAGCACGCATTGAAGAATAATTTTCATTACACAGCCTCATTTACACGATTAAATCATTTATTTGGAAATTTATATGCCAAACTTTATTTATATGACATAAAAAATTGCCAAACTTGTAGACCGTGACCCAGGGTCACGATTGCCTTATAACATCACATACTTAAAGAAAATTTAAGTTCCAGTATCCTTTCTAACCTGAGATGCTACATATTTGATATTGTCCAAACTTAAATTCGAAATAGATGATGCCGTAAATGTTTTTATTCGTTGGATATATACCATCCGTTGATTTTTATCATCATTGATACGGAAAAAAAGGTCATAAACCTTTCGAGCTCTTTCCGTTTTCTTTCGAATTGTAGGTTTGGAAATCTCCTTTGGGAGCTGATCTCTAACTTCATTATTAATCTTTTTCTGGGCTTTGTGTTCTGGCAGATCTTTATACTGGGTAAGACGTTTTTCTAATTCCTCCCCAAAGTAGTAATAACTTCTTATTAGTTCGTGACGCACATTATCATTTTGTTTTTCAGCATTAGAAATTTTTAAGTACAAATCGAAAAAAATCTTATTCTCGCTTCCTCGTATGGATTCTCTTTGGAGTGCTTCCCTTTCCTTAACTTCAGAAATTCGTGGGATATCTGTGATCAATTCCTGGATAAGCCTTTTTAACATGCGAGAATCCTCGTCCTTAACCAGTTTCTTACCTTTTTTACTGGATGATTTTTCAGTGGAATCACTAACCCGCTTTTTACTACTAAGATTGGGAGAGTTTTCGATTGGAGTATCTACCGATCCATCCGCATCATCATCCGCATCCTCCATTTCTTCATCTTCTTGGATTACTTCTGTATTGAGATTACTCATCCTCCTAACTATCGATGAAGTACTTGACTGAGATGATTGTTGAGAAAACCTTCGTTCAGAGACCATGGGCTCGACAGATTTATCACAACCAGGAATAGGACATATATTTGAATCTGTAAGTGAAATTTTTTTCTCAATACAATATCTATGGTATGCGTGTCCACATGCAAGGATTGTGAATGGTTCATAGCTAACTGTTAAAATTTTTTTATCACATTCCGAGCATGGTGCTAGTTCAGCAACATCGATATTTTGGACAATTGTATGGTTGGTTTTTTTTAAAATATTCAGTGCGAAGATTTGGAGGTTAGAAAGAGACATGATAACAGTTTATAATGATTCTTTATGGCAAATACACATTGTTTTATAATACTATTAGTTTCAATGTATCACTCTGTTAAAGATGCAAAACATTACAATCGATAAATTAGTAATTTATTCTCTATGAGCGATCTCGGACGATTTTCCTACAACATCATACATTAATTAAACATTTCTTGATAACAGTTTATAATGATTCTTTATGGCAAATACACATTGTTTTATAATACTATTAGTTTCAATGTATCACTCTGTTAAAGATGCAAAACATTACAATCGATAAATTAGTAATTTATTCTCTATGAGCGATCTCGGACGATTTTCCTACAACATCATACATTAATTAAACATTTCTATGGGCGATCTGTTACCTTTACCAATCATAATATTTGCATAATTTCTCTGATAGGTAGGCCCTGAATTGATATCAAAAAATAAGTTCAATGCACACCTCTTATTTCGGAAGAAATGGTATTCGTGGAGTCTTGAATTTTTTTTCTTTCTCCGTTCCAAATTGGAACGCACGTGATATTTTTTACAATATTTTGAATATATCTATTTCTTATATAAAAAAATATTAGCAAACATGGAAGCCGAATTAGATTTGTTGAGACAGCGTGTTACCAGCCTCAAGACCGAAAATACTAGATTAAGACAAATCATAGAAGAAATTGCTAATCTTAGGATCGAAAATACAAGACTAAAACAAATAATAAAGCAAAATCGAACTACTAATGATCCTTCGCACTCTTCAGTTTCTCCACAAAGGCATATTCCATTGCCAATTAATGGCCATTCTAATGAAGATGATAGCACTGATTCCGTAAATCTAGATCAGACACAGGTACAAAATTCCATTTCTCCCGAAGTTAATTCTAATAATATCTCTGAACAGATAGTCGATACATCTTTTAATAATGCGCCAAATTCTGGAGATAAGGAGATCAATGATTTTCTGGATCAAAAAGTAAAAGAAAAAGTTAGTAATATGATGAGAGATATAAACAGGGAAAAGAAACTATTGCGAAGTAACAAAGATCCCACTTCTCGAACTCAAGAAGCACTCCTATCTTCTCAGGATACTTCTTCTATTGAATCAGAGCAAATGCCTATCGATCAGGATATTTCAGAAGCACCTATTAATCAGGCACAAGGTACCATTTCTTCCAAAATAACAGGAACTAGTACAACGGTGCTAAAAATTCCATATAATCAAAAGGTAGAACAAGGCTTAACACATGAATTATCTGTTTGTGCCGAAGACAATGATATCAAAAATAATGCAATACATGGATTTTCATCCGATAAACCATTTAATATTCAAATTCCTGAATTATCTTTAGAAGTAATTCTAACAGAATCTAGTAGAGTTACGGCACAAAATATAGCTGATTTATTTAATATAGCAATGAAGGTTAGACAAAAGGAAATTTTATACTGGTATTGTTATTATAAAACGTATGAGGATAGAATTGGGAATATTAGGTCTATAGAAAAAATTGACGACAAATCTGCAAGGACATCGGTATATAATGAAATCAAATCACTTCTACCTGACATTACCGATGTAAACTTGCGTAAAATAACTTTCAGAGCTAAAAAAATATATATATTGTTTGAAGGAATTGGGATGGATAGAATCAGGCAAGTAACTTACAGTGCAAGTGCTATTTCAAGTCTAAAAGATATTCAAATTCAAAATATTATAAATCGTTTTCCAAAAAAGAATGCACACGTGATTGAACCATCTATCTCAAACGATTCAGAAAAATTACCGGAAACTGAGGTAAGTGTATCATCTAATCCAGCACATGATCATACTTATTTCTGTAATAAAACACTAGAACAATATCCTAATTTATATCGAGAATTTAGTAGTGAAAATGCCGATTATTATGGAATTACTGATGAGACATTATGTCCATTATGCGAATTAAGTCATGAGGATGAGGAAGGTGTAGAAGGCAGATATGAAACTGGGTCCTATTATATTAAATGCGAGCAACGTGAAATTGAAATAACTGCATAAACTCCATCTTCTCATTGCCTCCTAATAAAGAGCAGAACTATATAATACTGAAACAAATTCGCTCAATATTTTATTTTTGTTGGCTATTGTGAATTAAATTGATTTGGAATTATTTAAAACGGCAATATGAATGATACACAGACAAATTCTGATAAAATATTAACCTCCGAATATCTGGATTGGTATGCCAGATTAACTGGTTTACCAAGTATTTTAACAGATAAAATTCGTTCCAAATTATATAAAAGATATAAGAAAGAAACTGGGCTCGATCCCTGGATAAATTCCAAAACGAAGATAAGTGTATCAAACAAAACCCGAGAGGCAGAGCCTTGTTATTCCCGTAACTCTCCAATTTCTAAGACTAATCCAAATAAAATGGAATGTCTTTATAAATATGCCATTGAACATGGAGAGGATCCTGATAAATTTTCGATCGTTACTGAGGCTGAGAAAAATAGGTGGGCCATGAGATGCTTCCGTGATGACTTGGAAAGAGATATACGCTTTTATCAAGGTGCAATAGAAAGAAAGGAAGATCCTAGAAAATATCATAAATTTTTAACTGATCGGGATAGGCTGATCGGTGAAGAATTATTGCGTCGTGGTATACTAGAAAGTCGTTTAAGTACTGCATGGCTCGATGACCTTATGAAGGAATGGGAAAAAACCGTATCCAATTTTCCAGATAAAAGCATAGCAGTGGAAGCATAATTGTAGATAGGTCTCTACAGATAAGTATCACAAATCAGTTGATATTTGTATCTTGTAACACATATATTTAGGTACGAAGTGCCATTTCTATGAGCTTCGCTCTTTTCGAAATAATAAATGAGTTTATCACATTATCGATCAGATATATAGATCTATAATGGGGCTGTGTAACGAAAATTATTTTTAGAATTTTAATGCGTACGACCACCTGACCATAATAACAGTGCATGCATGATTTATTTGTGCGATTAACCAAATTCGATTAATTACCTCATGTACATACTTTTCTTTGTAAGATAATTCTTGGCGTAAATACATTCACATTGCTTCATTTCTCTACATATATTCATTCTATAGATCCAAAAGAGATGAGCGAAAACGTTTTAAAAGGACAGTATATCGAGTTATGAATATTTATTGCTTTTATAGTGATTTTTTTACACTCTTACTTTGACCATATACTGATTTCAATAAAAAAATGGAAGCTTTTTTCGTTTCATATACGCCTATCTCGGATATTAATATCGCTACAGCTTTATATAAACGCATAGAAGCGGGTGTGTGGACATATGAAAGAGAAGATGAGATAAAAAATTTCATGGAGGTACTTGAAAATGCGTTGAATATTGTGTCTATTGACGATGACGAGAGATTAAGAATTCTTAATGACTTTGGAACTGGAGATGCCTTGAAAACTCGCGTAAGTTCTCTTAAAAAATATACTTATTTTAAGCAGATATGATTATTCTATGGTTTTCTTATGACCCCAGCAGTTGAAGCGAGTAGTGGTGTATAACAGTGAAGTAGTTGCGCCTCCATAGTAATGATATTTATTGCGATGGGCTCGTCAACAGTAGCTGTTTATACACAACAAACATTATGAGTGGAAACTCAGGGGTTTCATTATTTACAACTTTTTGGCCAAATAATATTGACATGATAGTGAAAAACAAAAACCTGCTGATCTGCGCAAATAATACGAATTTATTTTTTATTCTTGTACATAACTAATAGATTTATTAATTTATAGATATCGGAGGCTTTTACCTATATTAGCTCTCTGATACAGATGAATGTTTTTGTAAGTAATTACTCTATCTCTTTTCCGAATATTCTGAAATCTTAGTAATGATTAAATCACATAAATGTAGAAAGTGGAACCCTCATGGGTGGCAGATGCAATTGAGAACTTCAATGCTTTAAAGCGAGATGTACATAAGGTTAATTTCTAATAGGAATTATGGCATTATTTGAAATCCATTTATAGTTATATACTAATTCAGAATTTAGCTTGCCTCGAAGAGTATTGGAAAAGAAAAGACCATGTGGCAAGAGATAGATAATAGGTTGCAAACGATACAGGTAGAAGAATTAGGATATGATCACCCTCTTTGTTCTGGGATACTAGATGAGAGCTTATCTCCTATCATTGATATATCTGAGGAATCTCGCAATACTTTTAAGTCATGGAGTAGGAAATTTTTAATACCTCTGAGGAATGAGGCAATAGTGAGTAGCTGTGAAAAATTTATCCGCAAAGAAAAAAAGAAGGAAAGTGAAAAAAAGATTGAAAATTTTGGAGATTCCTGGTTTGGTGAATATTTAGATCACCCTGAAATATCACAAGAAATTGCGGATAGGATGTTAGATGTACTGGGACGAATTTGGGCTTCACCAAACTGGAGATCCTTTGCAACCACTAAAAAAATCACAATAAACGAGGGCACTTATGTCTGTGAGGTTTTGTCACCATTGTTAAATATTGCAATGAGTGATTTACCTGTTAATTGTGATATATGGGCAGAATGGTGAGTAAACTTTGTGTTTCCTGTCTAATGTAATGTCAGCCTTGAAAAATATCCAATGTAACGTTGTTATATATATTTATTTTGTAGGGGAGAGATAAGGCGAGTAGCGCAAGTGCTAAACGAAAAGGCTCTTCTAGATCTGCACGACGACCTGATTTTTCAGTAATTGTTGGAATAAAGGGTAATAATATAGAGATTGGATATCTTGAAACAGGGCGACCAGATTCTACCACTGAAAAACAATGGAGGGATCATAAAAAATTAAACCGACTTTCAAAGGATTCCATTGATTATATCACAAGTGCCAAAAAACAGAATAAAATCAAAGGGATAGCGATAAGAAATATATTAACAATATTCACAATTAATGTTACCGGTACTGTGCTAGAATTTCGGTGTATGAATAAGGAGTATGGTATATATAAATCCTGCCTTCTTGAATGCGCACCTATTCCGTTAAGTTTATCAAATGCGGATGCTGAAAATGTATACCAGTTAATTCATGTATTATTATCATTCAGAACTAGAATAATATGTGTTATGCGTAAAATGTTATTGGATAAAGGTAATATAGACGAGAATGATTCTGATGATACAAGAACGACGGTATCTACCCCATAAGTTTTGATTTTATTTTTATTTCTCTTATATTTCTTCGATTTTTAGTTAATAAAGCTATACATGTAAATATCTGAAAAAAATAAGCTAATTAATTATTACACATATCTGATAATTTTCCACTACATGCTGAGAATATCCGAATCGAGATTATTTACCTCTAAATATCTGCATAGTTCTACATAATTAAATACCGCTTTCGTATCTTGCGTATTCCTATTTATGATAGTTATAAAATTTTCGTCAATTCTATGTATGTACTTATCCCGGTTTTGGAATTGCATATACTGCTTAGGATTGTCAGTGAATCTACCTTGAGTCTTACGTCTGTTATTTCTAGATTTGCGAGACATATTAATATCCTATGTATAATGACGTATTATATCAAAGTATTAGACACATTCAATTTTTTTTTCTAGCAAAGTGATCTCCGTTCCAAATTGGAACGCACGTGATTTTGATGAAAATAAAGCATGGACATCCACATAATTCGATCGAGACAAATGGTTACATAGAACCTTACTTTATTGATATATAAAAAATGTTACCGAAATAACAACATAAAAATAAAAAAAATCATATCCTGCTATTGTGGACAATTTAATGGCGAGTTTCTGAATTAATAAGCACTAGCAAAGTAAGGTCCTGGTGAAGAATCGACGTATTCCAATCTTAAGAGGAACTCTCCTTTTTTCACTTCTTGCTGTCCCGTATTTTCAATAATATCATCAAGATCGAATGTTTGGCCATCTACATCGAAGTATAACCCCTTTTTTTTTTGCGTAATTTCGCTATAATTATACAGAATGGTGGAAATGAAACATAGATAAAGTTATGTAATAAAAACGAAATCATGCAACTTACAAGGAATGTGTCCTAGCGAGTCTTTGCGTATCTTCATGAGAATTGTTTTTGTCCCTGTCATAAAGGCTGATGTATTTTACATCTGACCAAGTTTTTGGTGAAACTACATAAAAAAGTATCAATGTTTATATATTATCTAATCGTGATTTTATTAACGAAGCCAATAAGAGGATTTATTTACCAACTGAAACATTGATAAATCCACCCATTGTAAACTTCAACGAAGATAATTTATCAAAAAGTATTTCTAACCTGCCTTATAAACCGAACTCAGCTTATTTTATATTGTTTCATTTGCTTGACCTGGAACCTGCTAGAAAAAGAGATTAACATAGTCGTGACTGCCTTCGGCAATGATATGATAACAGTCGCAGGACATTGCGGATCTACAGGGGGTCAAGTGTCACTCACTAATAAAAATTTTTTGATCAACACGGAATTT